TGCAGTTATGTTACGGTTTCTATTTCATTGAGTAATGAAGATAAATATAAAGAGCAGCATACTGAATGAGATAGATTGAACTAAAACATTATGACTCACGTGTCCCATGACTGAGCTGTCAGAACAACATGTTTTGTATTCCCAGTTGAGTTACCTACCTGCTGCTGATCTCACATCATGTTTTTCATTGTGGTGCCCAGTCTTTCACTGAAATGACAAATATGGCCAGAGCATTCAAAAGGCAAAATGACTGTGGACACAGCAATCAAAGTCATTATCTTTCTTTTCTTCACTGAATGTCTACCAATCTAGTTACCTAACCTGCTTCCTCTATAACCTTGTCAGACCCCTGTAATTAATAATACTTATTAATTACCCAGCAGACCCCTGACCATCAACGCCAGACCCAGGCAGTGCTGTTGGTCACTGGTGGGTGCCACAGATTTGTTCTAGCCCAGGTGTGGGCCCACTGCCACATCCTGACAGGGCTCTGCCGTCTCCCCCCAGCCGTGATTTTGTGCCACCGCATGCCCTGCCCGTGTGAAGCTGGTGTTCCAGGTGGTACCGAGCATGGCTCGTGCTGCGCACTGCAAGGATGAGCTCCTGTTGCAAAGAGCAGAAGTTTGGGCAGCTTCCCAAGAAGGGACTGGCTGTTTCTGAGGGCAACCACCATCCCATGACATGGCCTTGAGTAAAGACATCCCACTCTGCAGTGGGAGGGCATCTCAGCAGTGCAGCATGTCATTTTTATCCAGTCCTAGGACACTGCAGCAGCAGGAGGGGGCAGTTGAAGACCTGGTGTTTGGAAACAGGGAGCCCTCAACATCCAGCCTCCTGTTGCCAGCTCACTCAGAGCAGGTTAACCTGTGGCTTGACAACATGATGTGAAGCTGTCACAGCACAGCAAAAGCTGTGGGGAATCCAGATCAGCATGCCGTGTTGCTGTTGCAGTACACAGGAGGTGATCGCCAGCTCCTTGAACGCCATGGCTTCTGCAAGGCTCCCAAGACGCGGTCCCCTCTCTTCCTCCAGAGGGGGAATGCTCGACCTCCTGGGTTTGGCAGGGAAGGTGAGTAAGCTTTGCTGATACCTTGTGGGCGAAGTCTCTCATCAGAGGCATTTGTGAGCACTTTTTCCTGACAAAGCTCTGACAGCATGGAAAGGTCTCGTGACACATGAGGCTGAAGCACCACGCTTTCTGCTGAGCCGAGCTCCGGGTGCTTCGGAGAAAAGGCCTCTGCGCCACAAAGAACAGCTGCGCCGCTGGGAGGAGTTTCCTGCGCAGAAGAATAAATCTCATTTTTCTGCCAACAAAGCGTTATCATCCCTTTCAAACTTTCAAGCAGGCTTCAAAGAGATTGTCCAATTATCAAGCTTTTAACTGGAAGCGTGTATCAGCCCTCCCTCCCCAGCCAAGGGGTGAGGACTGAGCGCTGCCAAGGGCAGGCTCGTCAAGGCGTGCCATTGTGTGGCAGCAACAGAGGTAAAACCATGTTTTGATTTTTTTTTCCCCTTTCCTCTTGCATCACTCCACGCCAGCAGAACCCGGGGGTGTGCTCCGTCGTCGGCTGCGTGCAGAGCAGCGCCCAGCTGCAGGAACTGAAACAGAAAGGAGGACAGCACCAAAGGACCAGAGCGGTGCTGGACGGCTCGCGGGGAGAGGAGAAGCCATGTACAGGAAAAAGCTGAGAGGGTAAAAAAAAAATTGCTAACCCAAAAAAAAAAA